CCCCAAAACCCCAAAACCCCAAAACCCCAAAACCCCAAAACCCCAAAACCCCAGCCAAAAGTTTAGGATTTTCATAATTGAGTAATACATGGCTTGAGCTAAAAGAATGTTTAATATGAGCTTAATCAGTCTTCTGCCTTTTCTCATTGCTATCTTCTTTCTTTGAGATAGCCTCACTTTGTCTCTTTACACCTGCGGAAGCATATTTAGCTCTCATTTGCTTACAGCTGATGATATCTTCTATAGATACAGGGTCAAGTATAGTTTCTTTGATGTTTTTAGCGACCATCAAGCTATTAGGGAACTCCTTGTCAGTCCTCTGCCGTTCTATCACCCAGCCACCTTTCAATTGCTTTTTCTCAGTATAAGATATCTCTGTGTCAAACTTGAAATCTCTCTTTATGTGATCTTCTCGAGGATAAGCAGAAAGCATGCCTGTCCGCTTGTACTTATTAAACCTTATTAAGTTGTCGTATGACAGATCTGGTCGAAAGGCTCACTCTACAATCACAGGGTTTGGGTTGGCATGAGTGTAGGTTTGGGAGTGCAACTTGCGCCATTTCTCATTCTCCTCAGCATTTTCAAAGAAGATGCAGTCATATAGATACTCAGGTGACTCATATGTTCTGGCGTAGAGTCCCCATATGTACTCTTGATCACTGAAAGAAGTAATCAATTTGAGGTTGAAGTCAACACTATTCAGTAAGGCAGGCTTCCACTTGATTATCTGTTGGCATGTCCCTGGATAATAAGGACACTCATTCATGGTGTATATAATCCCATCATTAGCATGATCTAGCTTAGGAATGATCTTCTCCCACAAAACTTTAGTGTGAACGTCGAGATAGAAGTCCTTCAGATTCACCAAGACTGTTGTGGAAGGCAATTTCTTTTGAGATTTCACATTACCCTCTTCATCTTCGCTGGTTTTGTAATCATCTGCTGGCTCCTCTTTTAATTCAAAATATTCCTTGAGACGAAGTCTTTTGATTACCTTGCTGTTTACTATTTTCAGTCTGTTTTCAAAGGTCAGGATCATAATATTCTTACAATTAACCATTAAAGCATCAAAGATAAGGTAGATTGGGAGGTCTCCTCCTTTGTCTTGGATAAGCTCTCCATCAAAGACATGGATGTAATCTTGAGTTTTCCCAGAGAAGTTTAGGTTAGGAAGTATTATCCCAAAAATATTATAATTTCTATCAATCAGGAGTGACTTATTTTTGGTAATGACTCATAGATACCTCACACCATCAGTTTTCTCACATCAGAGGTACTTATTCTTGGCCATTTGGCCTAAAAGATGTCCTCGCTCCATTGAAACAGGTTGAGCGCCTGGGAAGTCATAGCTGGTTGCACTACTCAATCTCTTCTTTACGTGTTGCTTTAAGGTATCGTCCATTCTTCACTGAGAGTTGGCAATAGAAACTCTTGCCTCGTCACACAAATTCTTGAGGAAGTTCTTCACACGGTTTCAGTAGAGAACGATCTTCGGGTCTTTACTTTCAGTGAGGTTAACCCCTGGGTTCTCTAGATGTTTCGTCGTTTCCATATTACGGCAATTATACTGATTTCTCAATATTCTGTGGTACAAATGGGGTTTTGGGGTTTTGGGGTTTTGGGGAG